GGAAACACTTTATGATGTACACAATGATCTTGCTCCCTTAGAGTAGAATTCATGGCCGCCTAAGGTAATTACACTTGCTTGCATGGCATTGCACTTGAAAAGTTGGATTAGGATTAAATTAAGCTAATTAAAGAGGGATAAGGGAGATTATTTGATTATCTAAACAAGGTGGAATGATGATGGGCATAAACCAAAAAGCTTAGAGGGGTGTTTGGTTCAATTTCTACAAATTATAGGAAATGTTTTCCATCTAAAATATGATTTCTTTGTATTTCTTAAAAAATTAGGGTCTGTTTGTTTGCCCAAAAAAACTGTGAAAACAAGGAAATAAAAACTGACATATGTGCTAGCTCGGTTTATTGTTTCCAACATTTTTCATTTCTTATGTTTGGTTCGTCAACCCGTTTTGAGAAATGGGGTTGTGAAATGGGGGTCCACGTCAGACTTTGGAGAAATGTGTTTTCAGCTCTTTTAGAGCTAAAACGGGTGGAAATGAACCGTCGAAGAATAAAAAATTAATGGGCACGATCAACGAAGCGGCGGGCTTCAAAGGGGGTTTCCTCATTTTCCTCCTTTGTGGTTATCTTCACCGCCATTGAGTGCTCTTCTTCTTCCTCTTGCCTCTGTTCCGCCATTGGTCTGCTTTTTTTGTCTTAATTTTTTTCCTTACAAACCTTGGCTCTGAAGATGGCCTGCGCGTAGAACTACTCAATGTTGTTTTGGCGTTGTTTGCTGGGTTGCTGCTCTAGATCTAGCAGAAAGTGGAGGTTTCTTGACAGATCTGTGAATTTTATCCTTTTGTACTTGTTCTGTGTAGGCACGATCAACATTGTTTTCATATATATTTTGCACGCCAAAAAAACATGAGGCTAATATGTTGTTTAAACTTCTAAATCTGGTATGTTTGTAATATCTTTGAGAGCACACGACTCATGCCTGGTTTTGGGTTTTGGGCAAGAACAGGCAGTCACATTTGTGCAATGATGAAAAGGGCTTGTTTCTGATATTCTAACCCAGCAATTATTGCAAACAATAATTTGGCAAGGCAGTCCAGACCTCCAATTATTGAGCTAAGAATAAAGATTATCGGGCATGCAGCCAACATTATGAAGCAATGTGTTTGCTGATGATGAATATATGATGAAGTAGGTTCCTATTTGAGCATAAAACTTGATCCTCTCTTTTGTACACACTGATGTTTATTTGTGCAGTTTTGACAGGCCTTATCAGCTCACTTTGTTGAAAATGTTGTGCATGCTAGGCTACATGTGCTGGTGCTTTGTGCTGTTTTGACTGTTTTGTTCTTATAAACTACTCAATAACTTCTTGGTCTTTTCTTTTGTACACAATACTGTTTAGTTGTGCAGTTTTGACACTCCTTATCAGCTGACTTTGTGGAAAATGTTGTGGCTAGGCTACATGTGCTGGTGTCTTGTGCTGTTTTGACTGTTTTGTTCTTATAAACTACTCAATACCTTTTTAGTCTTATCTTTGTACACACTTTTGTTTTTTTGTGCAGTTTTGACACCCTTTATTCCAATTTTTTTTATTAATAACATGTTGTTTCCTGGTTAGTTTTAACTCATTTTGTTGAACATGTTGTGCTTGCTTAGCTACATGTTAGCATGCATTACACGGTTTTGACTGTTTTGTTCTTTAAACTACTTAACACCTATAGGTTTTATCTTTGTACACACTGCTGTTTATTTGTGTAGATTTGACACCCTTTATTCCAAAGGTGCAGGTGATTAACAACATTTGAAGTTTCCTTATAATGTTTTAGAATACTTTGTTGAAAATGTTGTGCTTGCTTATCCTAACATGTGTTGATTCCTTGTGCTGTTTTGACTGTTTTGTTCTTATGTACTACTCATTTGCCTCACTGCTAGAAACCCTAGTTTTAGCTGAATTTTTGTTATCTTTCAGTTTGTTAAACAATGAAGCTTTGCTGAGTTCTGGCTTTTTTGGTTTGCTCAGTTCCTATTTGTGCAGTGATGAATGTCATGTTTTCTGATATTCTAAACTAGTAAATATTGCATGCAATGATATGGCGAGACAGTCCAAACTGGCAATTGTCGAGCTCAGAATTATAACTATGGAATGCAACCAACATTGGCATGCAATCGTTTGCTGGTGATGAATATATGATGAAGTTGACATATACCTGAGCATAATTGCTTAACGTTCTCGCAACTCTAGTATCATGCTTGCACTACTGACTTTCTCGTGCCATGTAAATTTTCTAAATTCTGTTCATAAACAAACAGAATGTTTACAAGAACAAGGAAAATACTGATCAATGTTTAAATTTTTCTAAATTCTGTTCAATACCAGAATGTTTACACAATACATTTTCATTATATTTTCAATGTGCAAATTATAATGTTTACAAGAACAAGGAAAATACTGAATATCCCTAAAACTACAATACATTTCTTCAAATAATCAACTTGTTAAATTGCATGTTTCAATTCTCTTCGCAAATGCTTTGTTTCCAGCTCTTTTAATTCCGATACCGATTGAAGAGATGCTTCTTCTTTTCTGGTTTTACTCTTTTTGATTTCATGCTCATCTTTGGCCCACCTAAAGAATTTGCATGATCTATTTGGGTATTTGGCACAACCCCAAAAATGTTTGCCCTTGTTCGAACCTATTTTGCACAACTTCAATGGTATTGGTATATTACAAAAGCAGTTTATCTCAGGAGATTTGTTCATACCTCTCTGGGCTGCAGCCATGGCTAAGCACTGACAGAGAACAAGGCCCTTGGTGAATTTATTTGTAAAGAAGGCACCAAAATGAAGAGGCCCAGGTTAATGGAGCTAATGGCTTTGTGCAACTGTAAATTACTCAGGCACCACACTATATAGCTGGTATATTTGACCGTTACAAGCATTTTCTGTGTGCGGTTTTTAAAATATGAACGTTGCTGCATATATACCGTTGGGAGAAATTCCTTGTAATGCTTTGGGAGCGGTAAGCTCACCATGGTTTTGGCATTCAACTCTTCTCATGTTGGGGTATTTGTGCATACCAAACATTGGAAATGAAAAATATAATTAAAAGGGGGATGATTTATTTCTTGTTTTCAAAGTGGTGAAACAAACATGTGGAAACAAAGACTTACATTTCAATCCATTGATTTCACTGTGAAACAAACAAAGAAAATGAAAACTGGTAAACTCCCTGGAAATGTCTTGAAATCATTTCATTTCTATATTTCTGTTTTCTCTTTTTTTTCAGAAATGTACAAAACATGCGCTTATAGGAAAAGTTTTGAGAAGTCAAAAAGTATAGTTTTTCTTGTTTTTTTTACTTTGCTTATTTGATTCAAAACAAGAAAATGACCTATAACTTTATAGAAAATAGCAAGATTTTCTATAATTTGTAGAAATTAAACCAAACACCCCTAAATTTATAGAAAAATATCAACTTTATAAAAAATGTCAATGTGGTGTCAGATTTCTGGGTGATTTCCGTCCATTTTGAGAGAAAATTGATTTCTATAAATTTTGGTATTTTTTTGTACTTTACAGAAAATATTTCTGTAATTTTTTTTGAAACAAACACAGTTTACAGAAATCTACAGAAAATTTTTAATTACAAAATTGTCATTGTTAGATATTTTGAGAAATCTTTTCTATAAAATTGTGCAACCAAACACCCCCTTATATAATCTAAACAACGTTGGGTAGCAATTTTTTAATATAAACATTGAGGACGTTATATATGCGGAAAAAGTTTCTACTCCCATAATCTTGGTTGTTTTCGCTTTTGAGGATAATTTAGGGCGGGTTACTTTGTTTCTGTATCATGGTGTGTAGCATATTTTATGTGTCATTAATTGGTAGCAAATTAAAGAAGAGCTGGGCAATATTAATCATCCAGACAGGTGAACATGCACTCTTCTTTAGTAGGCTTAGGGCCTGTTTGCTTCACTAATTTTATGGAATAGGAATGGTATTTGGAGCTGACAATGGCGTTTTCGTAATTAATGGATTCCAAATGAATCCTAATAATGAGTTTGGTACAAAATTTTTTTATAGAATTGCTAATCTATAAAGTGGCTCAAACAGTGTATATTTTAGGAAATCCAAATCCAGTCCATTTGCTAGGAATTGGGTGGAATTTCTGACACATCTCCTCTTTTTTATTCTGATTCCTAATCCTATTCCTAATCCTTTGGGTGAAACAAACATAGAATATTTTTTATTCTGATTCCTAATCCTATTCCTAATCCTTTGGGTGAAACAAACATAGAATACAAAAAAATGAGATTTCATAAAACTAAAACTTGTCTATAAATTTTTTATGGATTAGGTTAGAATCCATAAATAAAATAGGATTCCTAATCCTATTCCTACCCTCTATTGAACCAAATAGGTTAGATGATGTGATTAGGATTGGGATCATCTCTGTTGCTGGCCGGCGTTCACTTGTTCAATCACAAGCGTCAGACCCTCAATCTCATCTCTGACAACAGTAGGGTTATCGATTTAATAAACACCTATATATATATAAACTCGTACAAATCAATCAATAATAGCCTGAGCTGTGACTCGCCGCGTGTCGATAAAACACCGAGGGTAACTCGATCCAGTGAGCAAGTAATTAATAAATCAAAACCTGCCGAACTATCCAAACCCCAAGTGAACGTGGCAGAGAGATGCCCTCGTCCTTTCGTTAGTACTAATTAATTAGTTAAGGTTAGGCGCAATACCATGAAATATATATTTTTGGTTTTTCTATAGAGCATCCAAGGGCACTCTATAAGACAAGAGATAGATAGAGAGAGGTGAATGGTAAAGAGGCCTACTGTTTGCATTTATTTTTTATTTTCGTTCTCGCTATTCATCTCTCTCTGTCTCTCTCCTCTCCTGTTCCCTTGGGCACTCTATAAAAAAAACCCTAATATATTTTAGGACAGCTCATGCGCGTGCGTCTCCTTATATAACCACCTCTTAATTTGCTCATCTCGATCTCCCCCCTCCCCTTCGAGAGGAAATTAAACAGAGCTGGAAAATAAAGACAATAAAAGAGAGAGAGAAAACATATAGCGTGTGTGTATATACATATATTATGGGCAATAGTAGCCTCCGGTGTTGCTTGGCTTGCGTTCTTCCCTGCGGAGCGCTCGACTTGATCAGAATCGTCCATATAAACGGGCAGGTGGAGGAATACAGCCGGCCCGTCACGGCCCAGGAGGTGCTGGAGGCGAATCCTAACCATGTCATAACCAAGCCGTCGTGCTCCCAGGGCGGCGCGGCGCGCAAGATCATGATCTTGTCGCCGGGGTCAGAGCTGAAGCGGGGGAGTATTTATTTCTTGATCCCCGCTTCGGCCCTTCCAGAAAAGAAGAGGAAGAAGAGCCCAGCTGGGAAAAGGAGCCCGAAGGGAGACGTCGAAGCGTCGACGACGACGACGGCGGCGGTCAGGGAGGTAGATGATCAAGATGTCGACCAGTCGACGAAGGACGAAAGTACTCCTAAAGAGGGAAAAGGAAGAGGCCATCACCGCCGTCGGAGCGGCCGCATCGCAGTGTGGAAACCTCATCTTGAGAGCATCCATGAGGATTAATGAGTCCAGATTGATTGCATGGGTTTTTTCATTTATTTTCTTCTGTTTTTTCTTTTTCCTACTTTGGTCTCCGTTTGATAATTTCCTTTTCCTTTTCTTTTTTACCCCCCTCTCTCTTCTTGTGGATAACAAGTGTAAATTTCTTCTCACGTTATCGTCTCAAGGAAGTGAGTTACTGAGCAGAAGTTGCGGAGCTCGTCGTGTATTTTTATGATGATAATTTGCATGCGGAACAATATGAATAGATGTACGTCTTCAATCATGTACATTTTATTAGCAAATAAAATTGATGTTGGTAGAAATGGTTAGGATTTTAAATGTATATTTATAAAAACGAAATTTAAGTATGTCAATCTTGGCTACTTTTGAATAAAAAAACACTCTCGTTCTCTTGTTATATGAGGAATAATTTTCTTCTTCTTGTATTTTTTTTCCGTCTTGAATTTGATCGAGATTATTTGTCACACTTTTAGATAGATGTTCATTTTAATTCTCTTCCAAAATTTAAATAGCAGATCTAAAGTATTTTTTTATTCATATAAATAATTGGATCTAATCACCGTATAGTCGTGATAAGTACGTGTCACCAGCTACTGTTTGATGAAACTTAAATATTATATATTTGGGTTGAAATTAATTAAGTACAAAAGATTAATATGCACTAATCACTTATATAAGCTAATCATTAGAAGTTAAACCAAACCATTCTTTCCCCTAGCTTGATTGGATCCAACGCGCAATCGATTAAACAATTAAACTTCAAACTTATATTAATTATTATAATTAGAGAAAGAATCTAATTCAGTTATTGTGCAATAGTCTAAACTTAGAAGCAAGATAAAAAAAATATTAATAAACAAAATTGTCAGATTACAGCTAATAAGGATTCACTTTTAAATTCCACCCCAATTGACTGCTTAAGTAACACTTGGATCAAGTCATCAGAGAGAAAAGTTTAATAATTAAACAAATTCAAGGTTTGTCATCATTATACCAAGAGAATATTAGAGATTAAAAAATGTAGACAGCTAAATAAATAGCTTTGATTGAGGGGGGAAAAATACTGTAGAAATAGTTGTCAGGCTATATTCTTGACAATAATGAGGAGCTTACTTAATTAATTAAGGTTAATTTTATAGAGGGTTTGAATTATATGAGTTCCCTCTTATGTGGATAGTTAATGGAGAGCTAGCGGTGAGTGTAAGCTTCACTCAGAACGTTTAATTAGTTTCTGGTAAAAAAAATTGATATAAATGCAAGGGTTAATGGCAGTAGACCCCCTATCGTATCGCTCACTTGCGGATTGACCGCTTCTAGTTCTATTTGTGCGGATATACCCCTACCGATGGACCCTCTCGATGGACTTTTCTGACTCTTTAAAGTTTTGAAAAATTAATAATTGGAGGTCTATCAGTGCATAGTACTAAAAAGAGGTCTGTTGGTCTCTATAAAATGTTTATCTTTTGCTCTTTAAGCGTAAGAAAATTCACTTAAAAAGAGTTTAACCACACAGTTAGAGCTAAAGGGAGGTGGGGCCCTATCCGCAACTGGATCATTGGATGATAGTATAAGGCCTCGCCTCTATATGCAACTAAGACCAAAATAACCTCAAAATGCAAAGAAGGCGTTGCGATTTAAAAGTTAATTTTCTATTGTCAAAACAATAAACGAGGAGATTCCAAAATTATCGTATAATGCCTTCACAAAATAGACGCTGACTTTACCTCCGTACTGTAGCCAGTACATATAGTAGAAATAGAGCATTGCGTCTGTTAGGAATTTGGCTATGCGCAACTATTTTCAATGGTGTAGGTCAACGTTACGAAACGTACATTGGCGAGTTTAGGGCCTAATAAAACTTAATTAATTTACAAAAATTCAGGCCAATAAATGATGTTGGTGATCTAAGAGCATCTCCAACAGTTTCCCCAAAATTTTCTCCAAAATGGAGAAGCAAAAGGCATATTCTTCAAATTATTTTTGCTCCAACTCCAACAGTTTCCCTATTTTAAAGAATCCTGCATTTATTACAATAATAAAAATATTCCTACATCCCTATTTTGGGATGCTCTTATGCATTGGAATTGCCACAATGTTTTTTTTTTGTAATTACAGATTTTGTTTTATATTTATTTTCTCCTCCATCTTGTTTCGAAGAACGTGTTGCATTTATGATAAAACTTTCCCCAAATATTTGAAGAATGCCCCAGATTTGGGGAAGACTCCCCTTTTTTTCTCATCTATCCCTATTTTGGGGAATGAGATGGGGAATCTGTTGGACCAAAAAAAAGCCAAAAATTCTCCAAAAGTGAGAATACCAATAAAATGGGGAAGCTGTTGGAGATGCTCACGCCAAGTTGTATGCTGGATCAACAATAAATAACTATACACGTGTTGAAATTTCGTAGTTGAGTATGCTCCCACCTCGAACATCTAGAAAATTATGTGGATAATCTAGTGGTTACGTATCACCCTTGTTTACAAATGAAGACTGATGATTGTCAATTCAGATCAAGTACGTTAATGAAGTGTTCATCTTCACAGATGAACAGGATAAATTGTTAGAAATTGTTGGGAATTTAACGCCTAAACCCCTAATGCAACAGAAACGCAGTATAGAAAAAGTACACCAAGATTTACGAGGTTCGGCAACTGCCTACGTCCTCGGGAGCCACACAGATAATTTCTTATTAATCAAATAAGAAATTACAATTTTAGGAGCAGATCCCTAGACTGGGATTTCTCAAATAAACACTGTAGCTACAGTGTAAATAATCAAAGGGTATGAACCCTTTCAATTCTCAACTTGAGAATAAATGATACCCCACAATTAAACCCTCTTTAACTCCCCTCAAACTTCTGAGAGCTGGAGAAAAAATCGCTGCTGCGATTTGGGTCCGACGCCACCGCTGAAGAAAGCCACGCGAGGGAGAGAGATCAAACCAGAGAGGAGCCGCCGCCAGAGGAGAAAATCGGAGAGGGGAAGTTCCAGCCACTACACCGAAAAACCCTAGGTGCCTTTTTATAGGCGAGGTGGATGAGCTGGCGACAGCCTGTCGCCAGCGGCCCGCGAACGCAAGGGGAGAGCGCACGAACGCAGAGGTCGGCCTCACTGTGACGCAGAGCTCGGGCCTTCGCCAAACGCAGAGTTCGAAGGTCTGCGTTCGCCCGAAGCTTGCGTTCGCCGAGATTGTGCGTTCGCCGAGATTGTGCGTTCGTCGACTTCTCCTGCGTCATCTTCGCCATTCTCGAGCTCGTCGGAGCTCGTCGGAGCTCCTCCGCCGTCGGAGGTTTGGTTTCCACCCCCAAATCTAACAGAAATTTCATTCGAGTATCATGCCATTAGAATAACTCAGCTATAAAAAGTTGCTGCGAACTTAAATTGGAAATCAAGATAGCACCTTGTGATTTAAACTTTTGGACTAATTCGATCTGCAACCTCTATTTAAGACACCTTAACTCTGAAGAGGATTTGATTTATTCTCAATATCGTAATTCGATCTGCAACCTCTATTTAAGACACCTTAACTCTGAAGAGGATTTGATTTATTCTCAATATCGTCAGTGGTACAAGAAAGTTTGACTCGCTCTCTGAGTCGTCAGTCTTGTGCATGTTCTTGTACATCACCTTCTCGTTGAATATCACATCTCTGCTCCGGATCACCTTCTTGTTTTCGTTGTCCCAAATGCGGTAGCCGAACTCATCTTCACCATAGCCGATGAAAGTGCATTTCTTTGACTTGGGATCAAGCTTATTCCTGCCTTGATCACTAATATGCACGTAAGCTACACAACCGAAAACTTTTAGATGTGAGAGTTTTACCTCCTTTCCGCACCATACCTCCTCTGGTATTCTGTGCTCCAATGGAACCGATGGACCTCGGTTGATCAAGTAAGCTGCTGTGTTGACCGCTTCTGCCCAGAACTGCTTCGGTAGGCCTGACTGTACTCGAATGCTTCTGGCTCTCTCCGTCAACGTTCGGTTCATTCGCTCAGCTACACCATTTTGCTGAGGCGTGCCGGGCACGGTTCTCTCCATTCTGATCCCGTGCTCAATTCTCAGACCGGTCTCATTCTTGACCATGGCTTTCCATCTTCTGAAAGCCTCAAACACTTCTGACTTATGTTTCAGAAAGTAGACCCATACTTTCCGAGTGTGATCATCGATAAAAGTCACGAAGTAGTGTTTCCCAGCTTTCCATCTTCTGAAAGCCTCAAACACTTCTGACTTATGTTTCAGAAAGTAGACCCATACTTTCCGAGTGTGATCATCGATAAAAGTCACGAAGTAGTGTTTCCCACCAATCGACGCAGTGGTGGTTGGTCCCCAAACATCTGAGTGAACGAGCTCTAGCTTCTGCTTCCTGGGGGTTCTGCCACTTGTCTGAAAGCTGACTCTCTTCTGCTTTCCAAGTATACATTCTTCACACATATCCATCTCCACTGACTGCAGTCCTGGGAGTTTCCCCTTTGTGTGCATGATTTTCATCCCCTTTTCACTCATATGACCGAGTCTCTGGTGCCACAGCTTTGAAGTCTCATTGCCTGCTGCAACTGAGATCAAACAACGTGCACCTGCTGTCATATACAGGGTACCAGTCTTCTTGCCTCGGGCAATCGTCATTGCGCCCTTTGAGATCTTCCAATCACCTCCATGGAAGGTTGTGGTGTATCCTTCGCCAGCCAACTGGCCTACGGATATTAAATTCTTTCTCAGGTCGGGAATATGCCTGACATCCTTCAGCTCCCATACTGACCCGTTCAACTTAATTTTCACCACGCCTTTGCCCACTATAGCACACGGTTGATCATCACCAAGATATACGTATCCAAGTTTTCCGGGGGTATACTTCTCGAAGAATTCTTTCTGAGAAGTAGCGTGGAACGACGCTCCTGAATCTAACACCCAAGATTCCTCCTTGCTCTCCAAAGAGCATATCAATGCGTCGTCTCCTCCTGAAGTGGATGTGACATTCACCTCTGCCTTTGCCTCCTTCTCTTTCTGTGCACTCTTGCACTGATTCTTGTAATGCCCGGTCTTTCCACAATTCCAACACTCGATAGCCTTCGAGCTGTTGCTTGGATTCCTTGATTTGGACCTCCTGTCCTTTGATCTACCTCTGAAGTTTGATTTTCCTCGTCCGTTTCTGGTTGAATTTCTACCTCTTGACTCTGTATGCAATACTGAAGAGGTTGTAGCTTCACCCGTTTCTCTCCGTCGGATCTCCTCACTGAGAACCAAATCACGAACGTCGCCGAACTTCAACTTTTTCTTTCCCGACGAGCTACTCACAGCTGTGACTGTAGCGTTCCAACTCTCTGGTAGGGAAGACAACAAT